TGGCGCGAAATGTGGTCGAAGTGAACGCCAGTCAGGAACTGGACTTCGACGGCGTCAAAGTGGTCGCCCAGACGGCGGCCGACGTCTGCGACTTTTGGCGCAATTTCGCCGCAATCGTCGACTACATAAAGAGCGTGCGAAGACTGCGCTTCGGATCCATTCCGACGTTCGTTGTGGAGGAAGTGGTGAACTCCGCGGTCACCGAAAACCCGTACAATTCGTTCCACAATTTGGAGCACTTGTCGATTAGGAACTGTTTCGACGAAGACTCGGAACACAAACACTGTTCGCTGCACTTCCTCTCTGACCTCCAGGCGCTGCGATCGCTCCGCCATCTCGTCGTCAACTCCAAGAACGGCTTCGTCGGCGACAACGACACCGTCGCCCTTCTGTCGCACGTCTTCGCGCAGATGGAACTCCAGACTCTCGTTCTGACGTCACTCAAGGGTAAGACATGTGACGAAAGCAAAGCAATGCCTCAATAGTGCTGTTTTTTCGGCAGACTTTTCGTCCGAAGACTTTGTGTTTCTGCGCTCTTTGCGACACATCCAACACCTCGAGATCGGCAGTTGTCACCAATGGTTCCAGAAGGAGGACAAGGAGGCGCCCCCTGAAGAGGAGGCGCCGCCGAGTGGGGATCTGAGCGGCGCTTTTCTCTACCTCTCGGAACTGCAAAGTCTGCGCGTTCTGCGATTGGTTGACCTCTCGATCGACGACTCCTCCCACACGCTGCCGAAGACATTGGAAGCGCTGTCTTCGTTGGAGTCGCTGACAATCGACAACTTGCGAGTCGACGCCTCCGGTTTGGACCCCTCTGACCCCCTTTTGAGAGCCATTAACAACTCCTCTCTCCCTCAGGTCTGGACGTGTTGTCCTCATTGGTGGAAGTGTTGCGGTCTCTCCGCGTGCGCTCTTTCGCGCTCTCGACCGACGACTCGCTTTCGAACCGCTTTTGTTGCGACCATTTGTTGAAGAAGTTGGACGCATGCGCGCGACTCGAGTGGAAAGTCGGCGTTTTGGTCGAAGACAGCGGCGAGTGTTTCGTTCCGTTCGCGCGCGAAGAGGCGGAGGGGGCGGGCGAGGAGGCGGACGCGGAGTCGGGGGGCGGAGTCGACGCTGATGTCAAATACATGGACTTAACGTTTTTGAATGAATTAATTCAGTCGGAGTTAAGCCACGCCTCCATTGAAATCATTCCCCAATGAGAGCGCGATATTTATTGTCAATAAAAACATAACAAACAAATCAAAGAGTCTTTTGTTTCCGTTTCCGGACGTAAGCGTTGAGAAAGAAGTGCGCGAAGAGAAGAAAGTACGAGAAGTACATCACGAGACCCGCGACGACAGTCGACAGCGAAATGCGACACTTCTTGTCGTCTTCCGAGAGTTTGGCCCAAAGCGCGTACGCCGTGACGAACGTCCCGAACACCATCTGCGCGATCTGCGCAGTCGTGATGGACATGGCGATGGGCCGCGGGGGTCGGTAGCCGAGCGCGCGCACGGCGTAGTACGAGTACATGTAGGCGTGGACGACGTAATTCATGTCTATATACCAGCGCCCGGCAGAGGCCTCATCGGCGTACGAGTACCACGTGAACAGGAGGACAGTCACGTGATGGTACCAGTGGAGGAAGAGGAGGGGCTGTTTGCGGAGAACCACGAATACCGTGTCTCCCAATTCGGGCGCTTTTGAGAGGATGAAGAGCCACGACCAGAAGGACGAGACGCGAACCTCCGTGTGGAAGGAGTTGTGGCAGACGGAGTGCGCGAACCCGAACTCCCGGATCACGTGAATCAGTTCGGGAAGCGTTCTGCGGGAAGAGAGCCGTCAGTGGGAATGGCAGCCAATGGGCGCTCTTTACCTGATTGTGCCGATGATGGAGAAGAGCGCGAGCGTCACGTTCCACACGGCCAGCGCTGTCCGCAAGCGGAACGGCTTTCTCCGCGCCATGAGATGTCTGCCGCCGAAGACGACCACCAAATAGGCGGCGATCCAGTAGAAGGCCGTCGGCCAGTGAGCGGTCATCCATTGCGCGCGCGGCCTGTAGTCGAAGTCGCGCTCGAAGGCGAACACAAACGAGTAGTTCGGAGAGAAGGAGACGACAGAAGAGCTGTTGTTGTCGTCCATCGCGTCGTCGGCCGGAGAGACGAGTGTTCTCTCAGCCGGCGCTCAGTAAAGAGACTGAGAGAGAGAACACGTGACATGACGTGATCTCTACTGACGTCACCTCCACTGCCACCCCTGTGAGGGCAAGGGCGGGCAGGGGAGGAGTGGGGTTGCAGTGGGTGGGCGCGGGGGTGAGCAGCGGTGCGGGGGAGGGGGCCGAAGGAGGCGGGGGTCACGAGTGGCCAGAAATGCGGCGAAAATCGCGCGAAAAGCGACGAAACGTAACACAAAATGGGTTCTCGTTGTCGTCCAATGAGAGGAAAGGGTTTCGAAATGACGTTATCTTTGGTTTCAGTCTTTGGACTCGAATTTCGGATAAAAAAGTCCAAAGATTTGCACAAAAATGATCGCAAAAACAAAGAACGCTTTGAAAGACATGTAATCTGAGGACATATTTACCCGATTCCCGGCTTTTCATACGTTTCTCTTTTCTCTGATTTCCTTTCCTCTCATTTACTGTTATCTCGGAGTAGTTATTGAAAAACATTTAAAAAGATTGCTTTCATTGAAAAGTTTATTCACAAAAACCGATTTCCGGTTCTCTTCGCGTCTTTGTCGCGCAGTTGGCGGCGCTTCTCGTCGTCCTCGTCGTCGTCCGTCACCACCGGTCGTGACGTCACGTCGGGTGCTGCGGAGGGCGTGCTTCTGGTGGGCGGGATGGAGGCGTTGGCGTTGGCGTTGAGAGCGAGAAGTGGGGAAGAGTTTAGAGATGACGTCATCGCCGATGAGTCCGAGTCTGAAGAGAAAGGGATTGAGAGAAGACTCGAGAAGAGGCTCGAGAAGAGAGGACTCGAGGACTGACCGGAAGTGTGCGGCGACTGAAGAGNGCCGTTTGCGCCCATTTCTGGCCAAACAAAGCCATAGAAAGGCGTTGAGAAGGCGTTTCCCGCACTTACCGGTGATTGGCTGAGCGCCGACGGGACGGCCGTTCATTGGCTGAAAGGGTTGTCGCTTTCGAAACCGTTTTCGGCGGTGTTTTTGCCGTCTTTGTTGTCTCGCGCTGTCCTCTGAAGACACCTTTTCGTCGACTTCTGTCGCGAGAAAACAATTGACGTTTGGATTCAAACTTTCGAAACAAATATTTACGACAAAAAGCCGTTTCGAAGACCAGAAGCGCGAGAAATAGCGGCCAAAGGAGTCGCGAGAAGAGCATTGTTGCGATGGATTTGAATTGAAATTCGCGAAAATCACGCGATTTATAGACCGTTGGAAAAGCGGTCAACAATTCTCGCGAAACAACACTTGTTTTGAACACATTTTTGACACAATTTTCACATATTTTTTAATCGCGAGAAAAATACATAATTTTTTGGATATATTTGTAATAAAAATAGAAACGAAACGAAATTTATGGCACTTTTGGTCGAAAGGCGTGAAAAGGGGGCAAAAAGGGGCCAAAGGAGGGCCCGCCCGCACGACTAGCCCCTGACCTCGCGCGACAAACAACAGGCGCTCACAATAATGAGCAGTTGGATGAGGACGAGCGCGATGGCGACGCCTCCCAGACCGCCCAAGTAGTTGGTGAGCGTGTTCTCGAGTTTGTCGGCGCAGCCCTGCGTCCACTTGATCTGCGAGCGCTGGCACTTGGCCTGAGGGGAGTCGCCTTTCGACCATTTGTCGCAACAACTCTCCGGCAGTTCAGGCGTCGTGAAATCCGTCTGTCCGGTGACTCCGCAGCACTCGAACGTCTTCTGGAACAACTGAATGGTTTTCGCCACGTCGTCGGACGGCGAACGGTTCCACTTATCGAACTCCGTGCGAATCGCACCCTTTATCTCGTCCTGGATCTGTTGGAAGCGGAGGTCAGGTATTGACGGACAGAAAGGCGCACCTTTCGTTGCATACCTTTCCTTTATCGCGGAGAACAAAGTACGCGCCGACGCACTGCAGGACCACCAGAATGAGGATCAGTCCGCCGTACTGGAGGGGAGGACAGCATTAGTGGTGGACAGCAATAGCAATACATGAGACCTACCGTTGAGAGCATACAGGAGTTCTGTTTGATGGCTCCGCAGCAGCCGAGGAATGCGAGCACGAAGATGAGGAATCCGGCCGCCAGCACCACAATGGCGCCTGTCTTCAGGTTGTTTTCGTAGACGTCGTGCAGATCTCCGCTCCAAATGGCGATCTTGAAGCCGAGCCACAGCACGACTCCGCCCAACAGCTGCCGCGAGAAAGCGAGTCAGCGATTGGTCGCGAATTCAAACTTTCAAATCTCTACTCACGAGCCATAAGACGTTGAAGAGGAAGAGGAGATACTTGATGAGAGTGGCGCCGCACGAGATGCCCATCGCTGTGATTGTTGTCTTCGTTTGTTGTGTTTTGACAAAAGAGACGCACTTTTAATAGAAAGCAAATCAACTGTTGTTTGTGTTGTTGGGCGCGTCACAGGACGTAAGTCAAGGCCTGTGCGTGTGGGCAGTTGCGCCCTTCTTCCAACGCAACGATTGCAACACTTTTTTGCAACGTTTGAAGGATTTTAACGCTTTATTGCTATCAATGAATGCTATGAATGTGTGACTCATTGTAGTCGCGCTTCAGATGACAAATAAATGCCTTTTTCGTGACTTTTATCACTTTTTTATCGCTTTTTAAGTGTTTTATGGTTTTTGTGATAAAAAAGTTTGACTTTTGGCCAAACTTTGGACCAAAAAAAGGCTTAAAGTGAACACAAATGACGTCAGAAAAGGCTTTTATTGAGAGAAAAAAGTTAGAAAAGAGTTATTATTTGTCGTCCAATGAAACGGTCGTCAAGTCCTTCAACGGCGAAGACAAGTCTTGCGGCCGATCGCCGACGCCCTGCGCGAGAGAAGAGGTGGTCAGTGGACAGGCGTTGGAGGGAAGGACTTTCCAATACTCACCCGGCGTTTAATGGACTCCAGAATCCCGCAAATGTTGCGATAAGTGCCGGGAGTCACGTGTTTTCGCAGCAGTTTCTCGAACGCCGAGTGCGTCAAGAGTTGCGCGAAAACTCTTCGGCCGTAATAACGCGTTGCGGCCGAAGAGTCCTGAACAAAGCGCGCGGCTGCCGGCAACACGTGTTCGCCGATATCGCGCGGACCCAACAGACACTTCGTGGCGCCCATGCGCTCCACGAGGAGGGCCACGAACTGCGCGCTCGTCCTGCGCACCAACGCGTTGCGGTGTCTGCGGAGGGAACGGGGGTTAGGGGGCGTGGACACCTCCTGTCGCGTCTACTCACGAGGCGCCGCCCACTATCAGCGCAATCGCAGTCCTCGTTTGCGGCATTTGTTCGACGGCGTGAAGGAGCGCGCGCTCGACGTCTTCGCGGATGAAGACCGCGTTGTCGGCGCT